TTAAAATAATTCAGTATTTTTGGAGTTTGGTCTCCAAGCCCAAAAAGTTTGAAAAGTTACAGGAATACCCAGAGTCTGGCTCTCCCTGGTTTCTGTGGGGTGCAGTCATGACTGAGGAAGAGGAGTTAAGGGCTGAGAAGCCGTCTGATGTGTAAGAATGATGGAGTAAGTACTACAGCTATGGGCTGGGAGCAGCAGTATTTCCCTAAGCTTTCTTCTCTTGTGACAGTTTCCCACTGACCTCACCAGTCCTCGACTCAGAGCCCTCCATAAGCAATAAGGATTTTCTAAGGCTCCTAGTCTCCCAACAAACCCTCTTGTCAGATAAGCTGACTCACGTACCCCTTCCCTACCTACAAACACAGAGGATAAGACCAGGGTGGCAGGCAGATTGGTTAATTGTGGCCCTTTTTTTTTTTTGTGGGACTAAGGTTTGAATTCAGGGTTTTGCAAAGCAGGTGCTCTACTACTTGAGCCACACCCCCCAGTCCATTTTGCCTTGGTTATTTTGGAGATGGGGTCTCATGAACTATTTGCTCAAGCTGGCCTTGAACTGTGATCCTCCCCATCTCAGCCTCCTGAGTAGGTAGGATGACTGGCGTGATCCACCAGCACCCAGCTAATTATGTATGGCCTTTCTTTAGGTATGTGAAGACAAATAGGTTTGGCTTTCTTTTTTCCTGCTCGCTTTTTTGCTCTGAACCAACATCAAAATTGTTCCTTGCCGCGCCATCTAGGCCTTGCGTGTATAGGATTTTGGTTCTGTGGCAAGTGCAGCCTGGCTTCAAAGGGGCAGTATATACCTGGACTTTCTTAGTGCCTGTCCTGAGGATAAAGAAGAGAAGGGAGGTGTCAGTGACATGGAGAAAGGCGCGCCTTCTCTTACAGGCCTAACATGACTTACCCAACCCTGTACTCCATTAGGGTTCCAGGCTCTTCTAACAGATTGTCACTGATAGATGGCTACAGGTTAGCATGCTTCTCAAAGATCTGAGGAAGATAGTTGACATATTTTAAAATTTAGTAAGGTCTAATTTGCATACCTGTTCAGGTTATGTGAAGTGTATTTCATACGAGATTGTTCGACTTTCATACTGTGGCCTGTTTTCTTTTATTGGGTTCATTTTTCGTATAAAACTTTAACCTGGTAGTAACAACAACAATAAAAAAAGCCAAGGCAATGAAATGGATCACACAAGGCCTACTAAGTGAATGTCACACTCTTTAGCTAGACAGTGCAGGCTGTCTACACTTAGGCCCCACTCTGCCACTTTTGGGGACCAGCCAGATGTAGATGTACTAGTGATCCCTGAAATTACATGGTGCTCCTTGCTTCCAAGCCTTTGCTTACTCTGTTCTCTCCAGCTGGAAGGACCTACCCCTATCCCTGTCCCTACCTTTGGAAATCCTGAGCTTACACTGGATTCAGAAAGACCCAGTTCAAAAAGCTTCCCCATTCTCCAATATGCAGTCTTTCTCTTCTCTTTTCTCCAACTAAATTCTCTACAAATAAAATCTTTCCAACCTCAAAAAAAGAAAAAACAAAACAACAAAAAAAAAGCTTCCCCAAACCAGATGTGGTCTGTACTCCCTATAAATGCTTTAGGTCTTGGTTTGTCCTCCTTTTGTGCCTTTTGTTACGACATACTCAAGGCCATGCCCTGCCATTGTATCTCCTATCTAACACAGTGCCCTGAAGAAAGAAGACTCAATAAGTATTTAAATAATGGAAGAGCAATGTTTTCTAGACATAGCCAGGTGGTGAGTTAGCTTTTTTTTTTTTTTTTAAATACATGTGACTTTTCTGAGATTTAAGAGCCCTGGTCTGAGACTTGCCCACCACTCAACTCCATATTGAGGGCCTGTGCATATTTGGGCCTTCATTTCATCATCTGTGGGGATTTTTTCTAGCTATTAGTACAACAAAATTCCAGCAGGAAAACAGACAGTGGATTTTAAAATCCTTATCTTGGGTTTGGAAAACAGATCAAAATCATGACAAAGGAAGGAATTGTTGAAGGCATTGGGTAGAGATGATATAGGAAAGACCCATACTCACTGAATGCTAGATCTGGAAAGAAACTTCAAGAATACTTAAGAAATTTCCTTAATTAGATAGGAAGTTGTACAAAGTGACCTCTGAGGCTCCAATGTTCTTCCGAATTCTTTTCCTATTTGCAATTCTGATAGATAGAAAAGTAAATTCTTGCCGGGCACCAGTGGCTCACACCTATAATTGTAGCTTCTTGGGAGGCAGAGATCAGGAGGATAGTGGTTTGGAGCCAGTCCCAGACAAAAAGTTATTGAGACCCTATCTCAAAAACACCCAACATGAAACAATGCTGGCAGAATGGCTCAAGTGGTAGAGCACTTGCTTAGCAAGCCTGAGGTCTTGAATTTAAACCCCAGTATCACCAAAACAAAACAACAAAAAAGGAAACTCTTAACTCATCTTTTACATTCTCAACTGAGAATAATATTACAATTCAGCATTTCAAACACAGACATTGTGCTTTTATGTCCTTAACAAAGTCATAGCCAAAAAAGCATTGTCCATCTTGTTCAATAATTCTTTGTTCATTCGTCATTCATAATGTCATCGAACAAAATCCACATGGACTCAGGTGTCACTTTTTATTGGGGAATTGGAGTTATACAACTTTTTTTTGGTCTTGTTTGCCAGGAACTTAGAGCCTCTTCTGATGTAAATGACTCCTACTTTCTTTATCAGTTGATCTTAAGTTTTTTGGAAAGTTGTAAAGAACACATGCTGTAGTTTAAAAACAAACCAAATAATATTCCCGTGTACTCTGATAACTATTGGGATTCTCAGTGACTTTGTTCTGTATTTATTTTGTTTTTATTTAGCTTGTGTTTACGTGTTTTGATAGTGTAAGGTACCTGAAATGCATCTTGAAAGTAAACGGTTATATTAGTTTTATTTAAACCTCAGATGTTTAAAAAGTACAAATAATTGGATTCCTGGGATCCAGAAAACGTTTACATAACCTGTACCACATGTTCTCCATCTTGCCACTGTTGCCATAGTTCAAGTAAAGCTCTGTGAAGTGCTAAAACATACATCTCGTCGTCTCTGCCTTTTCGTCTTCTACGTACTCATCCTAAACTCTCCTAATTCTTATGTTTTGTTTTTGAGGAATGGTCTTGCTATATAGTCCAAGCTGGCCTAGAACTTGCAATCCTCCTGCCTCAGCCGACTGAGAACTGGGATTGCAGGACATGTGTCCCCACACCTGGCTCCTAATGCATTTTTACATTTTTCCCTTCCCTCCCCAAATTAGTGTGTGCTTACTCCAAGTTCTGTTCTTAAAATTTTGAAGTCCACAGTGGCACCGAATGTTTCTCATCGTTGCTTTGAATAAGGCCACTTCCATCATGCTGCCCTTTATGGGGACAGCTGACAAATGCCTGCCTTATTTTAGGGCTTGAGGAACCATTGCAGCGGCAATGCATTCAGTTCTGAATCCATCCCATGGAGCCCAGGCGGAAAGGACGTCTCCTTATCTGCTGGGTTCTGCCTCCGTTCTTACCGCGTGGAATGTGTGCATTGAAGAAAATAAGGTCTTTTTGTTAGAGTTTGGGTATTTTCATTTCCAAATCATCTGATGCTGCGTTTTAAGGATTCTGTTTCAAGAACTTAAAAAAAAGTAGATGGGTGTTCTACTCTCCAGAGTTTTGCTGCACTCCTTTGGGCTTGCACATGGGGACGTAGTGTGTTGGACTTGGAGCTTCTGGCTGAGCCAGACACTGGTTTGTGGGTAGAAGTGGAAGTCTTGGCTCTGGTGCCTGACAGTTCCCTGAGCTGTGTGTGCCAAGGTGGAAAACACTGCTGTTAAAGGAGAACATGAGGAAGACAGTGTGTGTTGCAGTTAGAAAAAAATAAAATCCTCACCGAAGCCCCATTTGTGCTGACTCCAGGTGAGGAGAGCTTCCACAGGATGAGAAAGTAGAGTTTTCTACAGTGGCTCCCTGAGCAGGGAGCTCTGGTGTCAAGTACCAGCCCCTGTGTCCCCAGGGCTGGGGTTAGCAACCAGCCCTGCAGGACTGAACTTGGAGCTATGCTTTACTTTTGCCTCCAGTTTTCCCTCCCCCATTATCCCATTGCATTTGAGGCTCCTTTAATGTGTTACTTCCCTGCTGTCAAATTTTCGGGGACTGTTGGATCAGATCTATTCGAGGCCTTTCAAAATTTGCCTCAGACCTTGATCTCCAACCTCATGACCTGACTTCTAGCAGCAGTCAACCTGGTCTCCTTGTCCATAAGCCTGGGTGATATTGCTCCCTCCCCACCTTCTCCCACCTTCTTCCCCTTTATCTCTTTGCTCTGCTCCATTTAGAGCAGGTCTCAAAACAACACAGAACATGTCTGGTCAGAGGACCTGGGTTCTGTTCCAGGCTACTTAGGCGTGTGACCTAGGTCAAATTATTCTTCTTCCTTGTGTCTGCTTCCCCTCAATAAAGGAGGAGACTGAACCGGCAGACTTCTGGGGTACCATACCGCCGAATCAACATGGTTTGGTAGCAGCCTTAGCTTTTTCTTTGGGTGGCCTTTCTTTTATGTTTCTGTAGCATTTACCTTTCATTGTTTGGGAATATAGTTAACTCTTTTTGACTTGTTTTCCAACTCCTTTTTGAAGGTTTACAAACTAACAGAACCCCTTGGTGGAGTTCGTTTCCTAGGATGAGGTTGAGCAAAAGGGCAGCTACCATGTGTCTAGAAGCCAGGAGGAGATGGGAATTGTAGAAGGTTTTCCCTTCTGCCCCTTGGGAGAATGGGATGTTTTTTTGAAAAGGAGGTTCATATTTACCACTTGGGGACTGAAAGAAGGATGTCATATCCCAGAGAATCCCTTTCTGTGTGCTGTGAGGCTGCTGTGTCCATGCTGTTGGGTTGGCCTTCCTTTGCCATCCTTTCTAGATGCTGGTCTTTAGGAGTTTAGGAGTGGGATGACCACTTCATCTTTTGCTGTATGTTTCAGGGCCCTGTTTGATTATGACCGGACTCGGGACAGCTGCCTGCCAAGCCAGGGACTCAGCTTCTCTTATGGTGACATTCTGCATGTCATTAATGCCTCTGATGATGAGTGGTGGCAGGCAAGGCTGGTGACCCCACATGGAGAAAGTGAGCAGATCGGTGTGATCCCCAGTAAGAAGAGGTGAGTTGCCATGATTGCGAGTGAGGCCTTTCCTACTCTCGCTGGAGTGTCTGTCTTGTTTTCCTGTCATGCTGTATATTGCTTGAGAGCAGTGTTATGTGCCTTATTAGGCCTTTTGGTAAAAAGTAAGTATTGGCGACATGGTTTTCCCTCAGCGAGCTAGTATGGCTGCTGTGCCTGTGCACCTCACTGCTGAGACTAAGTGCTGGCAGTAACCAGACTTCTTTCTGACTCCCAAACAGGGTGGAAAAGAAAGAGCGAGCTCGGTTGAAAACCGTGAAGTTCCATGCCAGAACGGGGATGATTGAATCTAACAGGGTAAGTGGGGACCCCTAAGGAAATCAGCCAGGATATGAAGAGGGGTGAGACTTGGAGTTCGGTCTGATAGATAGGAGAACTGGGGAGCATAAAAGAATATCTTTTTTAGGGGGCTGTAGGAAAATTGATTGCTTTTCAGAAAGCAAAGGGAGTGCTTGAAGTCCACGGCTAGTCTGGGCCCTTTGCCCTGGGTTACTGGCTCTGGAAGATGTGTTGGAGTTGGCTGACTTGGGGAAGATGAAACCACTCATGGGTGTCTCCCTGGTTCTACTATAGACCCTGTCAGAGGTGTGGGGACCCTGAGAAGAACCTGGCCTCCCCATCCTGCTGGGACGGCCAGCCCCACGGCTCCCGCCTCCCTTCAGACCACGTGAGGCAGGAGGGTTCCCAGTCACTCATTTTCTTCCATGAGCAAGAAAGGCTAAAGAACTTCTGGAGCAATGGAGGGAAGAGAGGCATGGGATAGATGACTGTGTATATCAGTGGCACCTTAGGGCATGTGTCCAGGAGGCTACAGTGACCTTTGTTCTTTAGGAGTGCTGTGAGGCTGGACTAGGTAGAAACCTCTAACATCCCTACAACATTTTCCTGTAAACATAATTTTCCTCTTGCATCAACTTTCATTTAATCTCATAGACTCCATTTGTGAGAGATGGTCTTTTATTTAGCTCACCATTGTCTCCATTTTAGTTTTTCTTGCATGCTTTAAAATCCATTGTTGTTTTTTTTTCTTCTGTCCTTCCCCTCCATCTTCATGTTCTTTCACAGTCGATCAAAACGAAACGTAAAAAGAGTTTCCGCCTCTCTCGAAAGTTTCCATTTTACAAGAGCAAAGAAAACATGGCCCAGGAGAGCAGCATACAGGAACGTAAGTAGCAGCAGAGTCCAGAGAGCAGACTGTCCACAGCCCCGTCCTCTCGTCCTCAGATGCCCCTTCCCTTATGAGGACTCTGGCACCAGCCTGTGTGTGGCCGCCTGAGTGCCTGCCTACGCACACCTGTTTATTTGCAGTCAGGGTAGAAATTGGCCCTCACGGGGAGATGTTGGGGCTTATTTGTCCAGCTCCTCACTTGGAATGAATGTTGGTGGCTCTGAGGTGGGACTGGTCCCAGGCCCAGCCTCCAGGATGTCCCTGGCACTGGTATTGGAAGTGCCAGACGGAACTCTGCTGTGGTGGTGAGGAGCAGTTTTCAGCCAGCACCAGGGTTAGAAAAATGGTTTTTCAAGAGAACAAGGTCTAGGAACTCAGTGTTGCTCTCCTGGCTTCTGCCTCTTGTGTTTTCTTTCCCTTAACTCCACTCATCTGTGTCAAAAGAAGAGCCTGTCCTGCAGAGCCAGTTGCTACAAGAAAACCTCCTGCTTAAATGAGTTAATATAGACACAATGTTACACAACATTGTCTAAATAAAGATTTATTGAGAAACACAAAGCTGATTTGGTAGAAAAGGCTGTAATGCTGAGTTATGTTAGGATTTAATTCAAAGTCAGGTGCCAGTGGCTCACGCCTATAATCCTAGCTACTTGGGAGGCTGAGATCTGGAGGATTGTGGTTTGAGGCCAGCTCTGGCAAATAGTTTGAGACCCCCCCATCTCCAAAATAACCAGAGCAAAATGTACTGGAGGTGTGGCTTGAGTGGTAGAGTGCCTGCTTGACAAGCACGAAGCCCTAAGTTCAAATCCCAGTCCCACCAAAAAAAAAAATCAATTCAATCCCGATAAATCTTATTCTGCCATATGCCTTAGAAGTTAATTGCTCTGACCCTAATCAGGTCAGGCTTGAACAATAGGTTCTCATTTGTCTTGTTGTGAATTGTAAACATCTCATTTTCCAATCACTCCTCCGTCTTGCATGGAGCAATCTTGCAGTCTGGGATTATGGGGACTGGCAGGAGACTGAATAGTTCTGATAAGAAGTGGCTCTTTTTAGGCCCTCCTGGTTCACAGTCATGGAATCTGAGTCATGGCCACCTGAGGTGAACCTGGTAGATACAAGGTGCCCTCATCCAGATAAAGGCCAGGGCTCATCATCCTGGGGTCACTTCCTGACAGGCAATAGAGGAAGTTGGTTCTGCTCATGAGCAGTGGGAGGCTGTCTGAGCACAGATCTGAGGTGATGTTGCCACAACTCACCAGCCCCAGAACTTCCCTGCAGAACCCAGCCTGGGGAGACATTGCTCAGTGGCCCAGCCAGTAGGAGGTGCCCAATGAACAAGAGTTGAAATTACCCAGTGCCTGTTCTCCAGAGGCTGCACTCCTTAGAGCAAGCAGCTTGAGAGGCTACACCTCAGACTGCAGGAAGCCTTCCCTGAAGGGTTTGGACAGAGGCCATATTGGGCAAAAACTCCTCAGGGCAATGGCAGTTCTGTCCGGCCACTTGGCATATGAGGAGTCTCTCATGCCCCCACAGAGGGGAATGGAATGGTGATTTCAGGGGCAAAGCAGAGGCCTAGATTCTACAACTGCAAATTTGATCAAAGCAGCTACTCTAGGCCTTGAAGTGTTACCTGTCATGTCCTGTGGACCTACAGGCTATAGACTACCTCAGAAATCTAGTCCACTCTAAAGCCCTCTGGCAACAAACCAAGTAGCATCAAGGTCACATATCTTATCTGACTTGGGACGTTCTTTCTGCAGCAAAGTTCTTCACCTCACTGTAGTTCTAGGTTCTCATAGGACTTCATACTTCTGTCACTAATGCTCACCTGCCTCTGTATTCTTCCTTCCCCTGTTGTTTTTCTTTGTTTTTTCTCTTCTCCCTGATTCTCTCCTTCCCCGTCCCCCCCCCCTTCCCTCCCTCTCTTTCTGTCCTTGCTGTCTGTGAAATCAGGACTTCCCTGGGTTAAGTGACGATTATTATGGAGCAAAGAACCTGAGTAAGTCAAACTTACACACTATTAACTGTGTTTGTGGCATGAACAGAGATGGTGGTGGGTGGTGTAGGGGACATGGGTGAGGGTGATGGGATGGAGGGCAGTGTTTGTGAGAACTACGTTCCCATGGCAGGAGGACATGCATGTGGCTCCAAATGTCACACTTTTGCCCTGGATCCCTGGTACCTTGACAAATCCCTAGCATCCATGTCTGTGTTTTCTTTTTGCACCACCAAGTGGCAGGGCATGAGCTTGGCTCCCTGTAGAAGTGAGGTGGGCCCAAGTGTATCTCCGTGGCAGCACTCAGCTGATGCCTAGCCTGTTGTCAGGGGTAAGGTGCCTGCTAGTTGGGTTCTTTTCCCATTTATAACCGTACCAAAGAGTTGAGCTCAGAAATTGGAGCTCTTCCAGTCCCTGTAATAGGGGCAAGAGTACTGTGAACCTCTTCACCCACATGCACCTGGTCTATCCCAGCAGATCCAGGGCTCCCCCAAACAACCCTGGCCAGCTGTCTATAGAGCATCTCTAAGATGCGGAGCTGGTCTGGTGGGGGCTCCATATATCCACACCAACTGCTTATGGACCATGCACATGTAGTGCTTAACCTCAGGAAACCTTTCACTGACCTCTCCATTCTGGAACATAATCCCAGAGTGGAAAATGGAAGGACCTAGATGAGGCCTTAGCAGCCATCCCTGTTGTGTGCAGGTGGGTTTTGACAGCAAAATACTCTCCCTCAATAAATAACAAAGGTCAAAAGGTACAGGAGCTACCAGTAGGGGGCGTTCAGGAACTAGCCACGTGTGGAAATTCAGCCAGTCCTGGGAGAGGGAGGGAGCTCAGCATATGGTCTGGAACAGTGTGGTCTTGGCTGAAACGAGCAGCATCTCTCCATAGTTCATGTGTCCATGTCTCGTCTCCATTTGCCTGTTGTCCCGGGAGGGCTGAGCTTGTTTGTGTCTTCTGTGAATGCAGCTCTATGCTTGAGCTTCCTTTGTCCATGCTCAGAGATGGGCAGATCCCAACTGTCTGAGCCAGGGGAGCTTTCTTGTCCTTGAAATATTCTTGTTGGTCTGTGTTTTGACATGTCTGTCTTATGGTGGATGGAGGCACATCCCCCCTCACTGCCCAAGCCAAGCTCTGCTTCTCAGGAGTGGTGACAGAAATGCTGTGGGTCCCACTGAAGGTCAGAGTAGTGCTCCCTGGGAACTTCTCGACCCATCCAGTGCTTAGCGTCTTAGTTGTGGTGCAGTATATGTTTCTGTACTTAGTGGGCTCTGGCTTGGGAGGACAGTCATGAGCAGCATAGTCTCTGGATTTTTCTATGCAACTGTCCCTACCTCTTCTTTCCTGGGAGATGCATTTTGAGATAGGATTTGAAAACCATACAAGTCAACTGGTTTGATTCAGACGAAGAAAATGCTACGGAAGAAAGTAAGATTTCTAGTGCCTAGGGAGGAACTTGGCCGACTGAGTGGGCTCTGAGGACACATAGGAGGTGGTCAGGACATCAGGATTGGAGCTTTGCCTCTCAGTTGGTGGCCTGGATGTGGTAGACCACCCATGGCCTGACTTAGTTGGCAGCTCAGTGTCTCACTCCTGGAGCATTTGAGTTTTGTGCTGCATGTGACCTCTCAGTGGTGTGTTCTGAATTGGAGTCTCTTTCTTGTTGGCTTGCAGAGGGAGTGACATCCAACACCAGTGACAGCGAAAGCAGTTCCAGTAAGTGTGTGTCATGCCCCCTGTGTCGTGTAGCTCCACTATGTTTCCCAGCCATCCTCATTCTAGTGTCACACAGCTGCCATTCCTGCTCAGAGGCTGCTGCTCGTTTTAGTCATGTACACTTTGAGCCCCTGGAGATGCTGTGGCCAGTTCATTCTCCTTGTGGGATGGGATTTTCCTGGTGAATTACAGAGAGTGTAAGCCCTGTAGTTCTGGAGGGCCTGGCTTCAAAGCATCCCTGGAGCAGTGGGGAGGGTGAACTGCTAGTGAGCAAATTCCCGCCATGGGCACCGTGGGCGTGGGTGCTGCTAGGTTACGGACTTGCTCAGAAAGCAACAGCAAAATGGCTCCTGTGGGATATTGTCCTGAATCTGCCTTTCCTAGTTGCTAGGACCTCCTTGCCTTTTGGCTGGGTTATGGTCAGGAAGGACATTGACCAGTTTACCTTGGGAGATCCATGGCTATGCCAGAGAACCACCATGTGAACTTCATGAACTTTGGGAACATTGGCCTTTGGGGAGTTAAAGTGGCTAGAGGCCTTGAAAACCCACCCAGGAGTCTTAGGCTCAGAAGAAAGTCCTTTAGCAAGCATCCTGTGGCTCCAGGCAGATATTGGTGCCTTCCCTGGTACTGCTGTCAGCTACTTCGGGACCTGCAGGCACCCAGCACCAAGTGTTTTGGTGACTGTTTTAGGAAAACCTTGTCATTGCTAAGCTACACGGGACTCTGTCATAAGGAGAGAGTAGGCTCAGCATTATTTTTAAGGAGCCCTGGGATCTTAGCCCAGCTGTGTACCACTTTTCTGGATACTTCCAGAAGTGAAGGGGATAGGTAGACCCTGAAAAGGTTAGGTTACAGCTTTGAGGACCAGCATGAGCACCTGGACTCCTCCCTCTACAGGTTAGGGGACTAGGGCAGGTGTGTCTTGAACAGTCAAAGCATCCCTGTGATTCTTTCCAGAACAAGGAGACAGTGAACATAACCAACTGTTCACTGAGCTATTTGTCAGAACAGTTCATGAGAAACTGGGGTGGTTTTAGGTGGAGGCTTCCTGGCTTCTGGGCCTTTGCCCTTTGACTAACGATATTTCACTGAATGACAGCTGCTAAGCCTTGCTGGGGGTGGCTTCCTGAGCCTTCTGGCTGACAGAAAGCATACTGGACCATAACATGGGCAGGCAGTAGCAAGCACCGCTTGATTAAGCTGGTTTGCATTGGGGGGTGGTGAATGCTGTACACAGTGGAGCAGATCATGTAATACTAATCTGTCTCCTTTTTGTTGCAGAAGGGCAAGAGGATGCTATTTTGTCATATGAACCAGTGACACGGCAAGAAAGTAAGCCTCCCCCATCCCTGAGAGTCTTGCTTTCGCGTCAGTCTCTCAGTTGTGGGGCTCCACGCAGTGGGTGGCTGTAGCAGTAGGTAGAGGGTAGGGGAGGAAGAAGGCTTAGCTCCTTGTATATCTGGTCCCCAGGCTCCTCCTCCCTAGTGTCACGGGGGACATGGAGGCCACTCAATGTGCACCTATGCTTTGCCCACTGCCAGGATGCCTGCCAAGGAGAGGACAGATTTATGAGGAAGGCAAGGGAAGGTCTGTTTCAGTGGTGGTAGCTGCTGTGAAAAGAGTTCTGGGTCCCTCCTTCGGTCTGCTGTTCTGTAAAAACCTTGCTCAGCAGCTGGTGTCCATGCAAAACTGTTGGAAGGGGAGATGTTTTCAGGCCTTAGATGTGCTTGAAACTTAGATATTCTCAAGTTAAAGGCTCTTTGATGTCTTTGTAGTTAAAAGCCAGAGAATGGCCATGGAAGCTTCACCGTTTCAGTGGTAGCTCCAGAGCCTCCGTGTTCCAGCCAAACTCGGAGGTGGGATGGGCTGCCCTGCAGGGTCTCTGTTCACTGTCTGAATGCTCTCCTTCTCCAGTTCATTATGCGAGGCCCGTGATCATCCTGGGCCCAATGAAGGACCGAGTCAACGATGACCTGATCTCCGAGTTCCCGCATAAGTTTGGATCCTGTGTGCCACGTAAGAGCCCAGGCAGGACCAGAGGCGTGAGGCTTGGTGCCCTGGGAACTGCTGCTCTAGTAGTTTCTGGAAGGGGTCTGGGATCAGATTCCAGGGCTCTTTGGGAACAGGATATGTCTGGCAGACTAGAAGAGAGTAGGCAGCAGTAGATGGCCCAAGAGAAGATGGACTTGGGAGGCTAAGACACCTAACATGGCTACTTGCTTAAGGTGTTGGAAGGAAGTCTGAGTAGCAGTGGTCAAGGGATCGGACAGGTGGGGAGGCCCAGCCAAAGCATTGTTTTTGTTTGTTTGTTTGTTTGTTTTGTGTGTGAGTGTGTGTGGTTTGATCCCCAGATCAAACTCAGGGGTCTTGTGCACAAAGTGGTCTTGATGTTACCTGATGAATCATTTGTTCGGTTTACCAGCTCCCACACTAAGTTTTGCACCCTCTGCCAGGCCCTGGCTTAGGAAACCCCACTTTTTTGGTCCAGTTCATCCTAAAACAGCCCCACTGTGTGAGACTTGGAGATTGGAAAAAAAGTAGGTAAAACAAACTTCCTCCCAACTGCTTTATTTGCCTCACTTTGTGAAAAAAATACTAGAGTGACCTTGTGACCCTCCCAGGTGAGAGACCAAGTCAGCTTTTCTAGCCCAGCACAGACTATTGCCCTTGGGCTGCATGCTGTTTCTTTTCTTCCTTCAGATACTACTCGGCCTCGGCGTGATAATGAGGTGGATGGACAGGACTACCACTTTGTGGTGTCCCGAGAACAGATGGAGAAGGATATTCAGGACAATAAATTCATTGAGGCAGGCCAATTCAATGATAATCTGTACGGGACCAGCATACAGTCAGTCCGGGCAGTTGCAGAGAGGGTAAGCAGAGAGATGGCCTGGCTAGCCCCAAGCCTCAGAAGGAGGACAAATGCTCAGGCCCAGGTTCCACTTGCATCCTCATCCTTCGAACTCAGGGCCCACCAGGTGGTCCAGCTGACCAAAGCCATGGCAGTTGTGCATATCCCCAGCTCCTCACTGAAGGTATCTCCCTCCCTCATGCAACTTACACTGGAGCATCACCCACCAAAGAATAGGGAGCCCTAGGCACATGTGTCCTTTTCTAGGTAGTAGAAACAACAACAAAAAAAATGGGGCCTGCATAAGATTTTCTGGGCCACTGTTGATAGCCCTGGCTTCCCCAGGCGGCTGTTTTGGAAACCACTGGATTTCTGTGTTGAGGTGGGTGGACTGACACAAGTTTGCTTTTTCAGGGCAAGCACTGCATCCTAGATGTTTCTGGCAATGCTATCAAGAGACTGCAGCAAGCACAACTTTACCCCATTGCCATTTTCATCAAACCCAAGTCCATTGAAGCTCTTATGTAAGTGTTCGCTGGGCTCAGACACCAGCTAGAATGGGGCCCTGGAATGGAAAAGGAGAATGACCTGACTTGTTGGATTCCTAGGGGTAGGACTCAGCAGAAGCTTGAAGGACACTCTGCCCCAGCACTGACTACCTGCTGCTCCTTCTGTTTTGAGTGTCCGTGTTTGCTGTCCCAGTAGGACCTTTTAAACCTGGAAGGTCTGAGGCTGGAATTAGCGGTGGGGCCATTCTGAGAGGGCAGTTTAGCAGATTTTTCAGGAAACCTGGAACACTTGTTTTTGATAATTAAAACCTAGAATCTCCTTTGGAACTATTTTGCTTCTGTCTTTGGCAGGGAAATGAACCGACGACAGACGTATGAACAAGCAAATAAGATCTATGACAAAGCCATGAAACTGGAGCAAGAGTTTGGAGAATACTTTACAGGTAAGAATCCCTACTTTCCAGCAAGGGGGTCCATGGGACCAGCCAGATACCTGTTGCTGCACTTGGCTCAGAGAGGTTTAGGTAGGCCTTAGAGCACAGGCATAAACTGGATGCTTCGGAGCTGTTGAGCACAAATCTTTCCAAGCACTTACTTGAGTTCCTTCTAGCCCCAGTTTAATCAGTTTCTATCATAAACCATGCCCCAAACACTGCTTTGGATTGTTAGTTTGTTCATTCTGTTTTCTTGTCCCTACTAGATTTCGGGCCCCTTTATTTGTTTCCCTCTCAGCTCTTTCTTCCCCATCCTTTGCTGAGTGTGTTTTAGGTACTGAAAAAAACCCTGTGTTGATAATGATTTCTTGGTGCGGTGTTCAGGTTGTCTGTCAGCGTTCATGTGTATGCATGTTAATACAGTCACCTACTTTAGAAGGTCAATTACTAAAAGGTTGGGAAAGTCCCTTTGTAATTGTCCCTTACCTTTTAATATAGAGTGACAGATACCTGTGTGTGTAGGGCAGTGCTGAGCAAATTCTAGCTGGTGGTACCACTAAGTTAACTAGGTAAAGAATTCAGGAATGTACTTGCACACCATGGGTCTTTGGAGCTTGCCTTACCATCAGCATCTGTGTCCTTGTTCGCTGGGCTGACCTCTGACACAGAGCAGATGTGACAGCCCCAGGAGCACTGCCTCTTGCCAGAAATTGTGGCTTTCCATTCTTCCTCTGGGTAACTGGGATTTTCCAAATCTTGAGTGAAGCTGTTTTAGAAGTACATGCTGGCTTTAGGGTGGCCAAGAGCTGTAGTGTCTGGCATGTAGCAAGTGCTCAAATCAACATCTTTTCAGTGAACACATTTTCTTGTTCCTTGGTACTTAGCTTACTGTCTCAGAAAGTTACTTCTAACCCTGGGCTCAGGGTGCCTAGCCAGCCCCCTCCTTCCCTGACCTTGCAGACAGCTGACTAGCACAGCTAAACCCATGCTTCCTTAAGCATCCATCGTGCCCCAGGGGCCATGGCACAGTTGTTGGGAAAGGCAGGATGGCCGGGGTGTTGGGGACATGCTGTGGACCACAGTAATAATTTTGTTTTCCTCTTCACTTTAGCCATTGTGCAGGGTGACTCACTGGAGGAGATTTATAGCAAAATCAAACAAATCATTGAGGACCAGTCTGGGCACTACATTTGGGTCCCATCCCCTGAAAAACTCTGAAGAATCCCTCCAACCATTCTCTTGTGAACAGAAGAAATCAAGTCCCTCTTCCCTCCTCCTTCTTCATTCCTGTCCCCACGGGGAGAACAAATGACTACTGTTCTTGTCCCCTTTTTTAGATATGTCAAAAATTGAGTTTTCTAGTCCTTTTTTTTTAATTTTTGTTTTATTTTAGTTTATTTTTTGGGATGATGCCATCTCACTCATCATGTGACTGTGCCCATCCCTGCATGGACCTTTCCCAAGCGCTAGCACAGGTGCAAATCCATCAGAGCCATTGTTTTCATAAACACCCAGCAGAAGCGAAGAGAAGAGAGGAGGACTGATGGAAAGACAGACTCTGGACAGCTGCACAGCTTGCGAAGTGAGCTGAACGCACCACGTCATGAGGTGCTCCTGGGCGTTTCTACCCACCTGCACTGCTGGCTTCCAGCTCCAAACGGTGCGACGTAATGGCAACAGAAAGTACCTTATTTATATATAGATATATATATGTAATTTATATAAAATATATAGAAATTATCATATATATATATTATACACTCTTCTATAATATATATATATATATTCACATACGTTGGGACTAGAAAATCTATGGAGACTTCATCAATGGTTCTACGTTATTAGAGAAACGCTTTAGTTTTCATATTCCAATCAGATGACGTCTTATGCCCCACCTGGTTGGGAAGGGATTGAAAATGGTAGTGAGTGCTATGCCAAGGGCACTCACTCGCACTGGGTCATTCTCTTTAGAGCTAAGGTCTGCTCCAGGCGGGGTCAGCCTGAGGCCTGAGAGAAGGGGCTTTGCCTGGGAGCAAGAGGGCTGGAGACTCCACCAGACCGAAAGCAGCTGCTGCCCCTGCAGTGCAGTCAGTCCTGTGTGCAGAGAGAGAGAGAGAGAGAGAGAGAGAGAGAGAGAGAGAATGGCTAATGATGCTCCGTATAAAATCGCCTATTGTTTTATGTCACTTGATGTGTCTGCATGAGAGGTTTCCTTTTTGTTCATTTTTAAGCTGCTGTTAAACCAAAACCATGTTGTGCTACTGTGTCAGCCTTTTCATTCTTCCAAATTTTACTTTTACTATTTAAGTGAATGCATAGAATCCAATTCGCCAGTGTTCTAAAGGCTTGTGAGGTTCTGAAGGAGCCAGGCCTGGGGGTGTAGTAGGTGTCCCGGGCCTGGACATCCAGTCAGCAGAGGGAAAGCAGGGGCTGGTGAGGGCTGAGACTAGGAGCTGGGGCTCTGCATTGCCATGCTGGCCTTCACTGACCTGCTGAGAACACACTGCACTCAGCTGAGATTCCTTCGCAGGGCCACCAACTAGGACAGGGGTGCTTTTGCCTTCTGGCTCTGTGCTGGGATAGTGGAACAGCACCAGGCTTGGCCAGCCATGTAGTGACTTGGATTTGGGTTTTTTCTTTTTTTTCTTTCTTCTGTTTTTTTTTCAGCTGCTCCATTGCCCTACCCCAGACCCCATACCAACAGCTGGTAGCTTACTTTTTCTTCAAGAAGAAAGTAGACTTTACTGCTGTAAATTTGAGCTGTAGAGCTAAGATTCAATTCCTGGTGAGCTGTCAAACCTTGTTGCTTTTCCCAGAGTCTGATGGTGGTGACGGGTCTGATGGTGGTGACGGGTCTGATGGTGGTGACGGGTCTAGGAAGTTTGCCTCCCAACACCAGCGCAGACGGCAGGCATGGTCCAGGCCCTACCCTACCCCACTGTGCTCCTTTGAAGCCAACGTGCCTCCCTCGCCTCCACGCCGGAGGGATGATGCAGGGGAGAACATAGAAATGATTGGCCCTTGAGTTGAGACCACTGGGTGACGATCAGTGCACATCACAGTGTTGAAGACGCTTTAAGCGCTACCAGCCACATTCAGGAACTCTGTTCCTAGGTATCCTACCAGCATAATGAGGCTAACTTTAAAGTGTGGGGCCCAGAGTGAGGGGAAAGAAAGGGCAGCAGCTTTCCCTTGGGCAGTACACTGGATTGAAGGCAAAGAGGGACAGAGTGATGGCTAATTGTGACTCTGATGAGGAGGATGAGCAGGGAGTGTTGATCGTCTGATGGTAACTCGGTGACATGTCTGAATGATGCTCAACCCTCCCTCCCTCCCAGGGAAGAAAAGCAAAGATTCAAAGTAAGCATGACACTAGTTGGTTTACCAGTGTTCCTTCCAAGGAGACATATATTTTTTAATAAATGATAGTTGCAATGAACTGTGGCTCAGAGACCTTCTTAAAGGAGTTGAGCAGGGTGGGTGGGGAGCAGCAGTGGGGAGAATGTGCCAGACCTTTCCTGGGAGTGGGGGGAAGGGCTTACTCCTTGGTGGCAATCAGCCAGGCAGTCCTTGGGGTGGCTATGGGCTTGGGATGGTGCCAAGTCCTTTGGGAAAACTGAGTGCTTGGTCTTCCACGCTGGCCCAGACACTGCCTTGAACAGTACCAACTGCATGTGACACATCCTCAGTGGTGAAATGCTGACACTTTTCTAAAAACTGTACGAGGTAGGAGATGCTGCAACAGGGCTAAGCTTAGCTGCGGGAAACTGAGTGAGAGAAATGGTCAGAGAAAGCTGCCTGACTTCTTCCAGTTTCCAAAGAATGCGAGTGGGATGGACCCAGCTTGCAGAGGGCAACGGGTGCCCTCGAAGTGGAGCGAAGTGCTTAGAGCAGGTATTTGTGACATGGCTACCACTATGCAGCTTGTATGGAGAAGCCTGAGGAGGTGCTGAAGTAATTAAGGTCAAGAGCAACAACCAAATGAATGAGCGCCCCTAAGGTGTATGGGTTGAGCCCCAGGAAAGATGACTGCTCGCACTTGCTCATGACTTTCATGGTTTGAAGGGCCTGCAGGGTGTTTGCCTCCCCACACTCTGATTTGCTACCAGGCAGCCCAACAAAAGGGAGTCCCCAGAGAGCTCCGTGGGGGTAAAGGACATCCCCTCCTGAGTGCAAAGGGAACAAGGATTTTCCCTGTAGTCACTGTGCTGAGGTTGTCCTCACAGCTGATGCCCCGAAGCCAAGGTATCAGAGAACCTTACAGCAGTGAGATGAGAAGGGGCTCCAACCATTAGCTTTCTCAGGGCGCCGCTGGTCGGTGCTGAAGAGAAACTCAGGCCTACGGGTCCTTAGCACGGCCTTGGCCGTGTCCACTGTCTCACCACTCCCAAGTCATGCCACTCAGCCCTGTTCACATCTAGGATTTCATGGACTTCATCCACTAATCTTTCCATCCATTCGCTCATTTCCTTGACACCTCCAGGACATTTTATTATCATTGCAAATAACCTCTGAAGCTCAAATTCCCTTTCCTCAAAAGCTTCTGTCTTTCCCCATCACTTCCAAGAAATAGCAGAGCTGGCTCCCATACACTTCAGTTCCTCCCCAACGCAGTTTTAGCCCAAGCCTCAAAGCATTTTTTTTTTTTGCAATTTTTTTCGAAAAAATGTTAGGCTTGGTCAACTAGAAGAAGAAAGTGTGTTGATATCTGTGCTTTGCCAGAAAATAGAACATCAACAAGGAAGCCCCAACTATATTGTATCTGCAGAGCTGTTGCCATTGTACACAGTGATGTCCACTGGTGGCTTTTTCCACCTTAGATGAGTGAACTTCCTGCATGGCCTGCCCTCCCCTCACCTGGCTTCCAAGAAGTGACAAGTGGGTGGCTTGAGAGTGCGCTTCCCACCTGGGCCCTCCCAGGGATGAACAGAGGATGAGGATCCTCTGCCTGCCTTGCTGTCCAAATACTGGCTGTCCTCTGCTTGGGCCAGCCAGTCGTTCCTTGGCCTGGCCCTTCCTCCATCAGGCCTTGGCCTTTCCCTCCTGCTGCGTCCCCCTCCACTTCCGCCTGTAAATGGCCTCACTGCTGCATCTTGGCACTTTCCTGGAAGACTTCTTTATATGTCAAGACTTGGTGCAAGAATTCCCATTTCTCTGCTGCCTGTCCTGAGCCACTCCCTCTCCTCCTACCTAGAATTGACCTTCCCTTCCTTTATGCTCCTTTGTCATCATGTCACAGCTCAGTTTGTCTCCTGCCTTCCATGGGCTGTGCACTGTACTGAGTTTTATGAATGCTATTCCATCTGTGAAGTAGGTGCTATTATTATCTGTTTGCCAGATAAGGAAACTGAGGCACAAGGTGGCCACACTGCTAATAAGTGACAGAATTGTGAGCCAAACTCAGGCTGTCTGACTGCAGCAGCTGTGTTCTCAAGCACCCAGCAGCCTGTCACTTTGCCACACTCAGGACATTTTCCTGCCCCCATCGCCTGTCCTTCCTCTCGTAATCTCTGATAGCCGAGGCCCACGTGCACACCCTCCCACCACCCCCGCACTGTCTGCCCCAGAGCAGGCACCGGGTGAGAGAGGAGCTGCAGAGGTTGCTCAGCCCTGGAGGAGAGTGAGTGCCTGACTGGGTCCAAACCTGGGGTGACTGAACTGCTTGGTTTTCTGGACAACTTGTACCACACACATGTATGTATGTATGTATATGCATATGCTAGGGGCTTTATATATTATTGGCATATATGCGTTGTACAAAGGGGTTTCACTGTGATATGTCCATATGTGCATATAATGTGTTTTGATCAAATTCACCCTCTCTATCACTCTTTCTTATCCCCTTCCCTTTTTTTTTTTGCAATTTTTAATGGGTTTCATTATTCTATTTTCATACATGTTTATAACGTACTTCAGTCATGTCCTCAATCTCCATCATCCTCACCTTTTGTCCTTCCTCCTCTCACTGGTTTCCTCCTCCCCAAACTGTCCCACTTTTACATTCATGTCATTTTCTTTTTGGCGGTACTGGGGTTTGAACTCAGGGCTTCACACTTGCCAGGCAGGTGCTCTATCGCCTGATCCACTCCACCAGCCCTTTTCTGTGATGAGTTTTTTCGAGATAGGGTCTTGAGAACTATTTGCCTGGGCTGGCCTTGAACCACAGTCCTTCTGATCTTTGCCTCCTGAGTAGTGGGATTACAGGTGTGAGCCACTGGTACTCAGCCATACCATTCTTGTTTTAGATGTAGATGGCACATATGTGATATTTGTCTTTGTGAATCTGGCTTATTTCACTTAACATGATAATCTCCAGTTCCATCCATTTTCCTGCAAAAATAAAAGTCCACTGTACCTATACATCACATTTTCTTTATTCATCATCCATTGATGGCACCTAGACTGGTTCCATAGCTTGGCTGTTGTGAACAGTGCTGCTATAAACATGGGTGTGCAGGTGTCTCTATTGTATGCTGACTTACATTCCTTCAGATACATGCCCAGGGGTGCTAGCGATGGATCATGTTTTAGTTTTAGTTTTACTTTTTTGGAGTTTTTGGTTCCATCCTCTGCTTCCTCTCCTTTTCTCCTTCAGCCCCTTCCTCTCGCTCATCTCCCT